TGGTTACATTATAAAGTGACTTTTGACATTACAATTTATACCATTGTGACAGAAAATGCAAATTTAACATGATTAGAATTTTGATGTATGAATATGTAATAAATACCTAAGAATGAATCATGTTTGTGCATAGTTTATGATGTTGCCGTGTGATTTTTTTCCTCTCCAACCTAATGTAGCTTTACGGTTTTCCCCATTGTCAAATTTAACATGATGGTTTTTGGGAGATCTTTCAAAGTGTGGATTTATACATAACATATACAGTGCCAAACTTGCCCCTTGGATCTTCATAGATTAAGTCCGAAGTGAAAAATACAACCAACCAGCCAGTAACAATAACGCATTTTCCAAATAGAAACCTGGAGGAGGAAGGTACAAATCAGAACAATTCATTGTTGCCAAGCATACCCCTGCTCGGACAAAAATACACGAGAATAAAGTATCCAGGTACTGTTATTTGATTTTCAAGAACTTTTTTTCTGCAAAAGTCTAAATAACAAAAATCCCACAGAAATGTCAACACTGCCCTCGGAAGGAAGGCAGAGCGGAGCTGAACTGCCATTCTATGCAAGTTCACGTGGCAACTCCATTATCCTCTCCATTTTGCGTTTTCACGAAGTGGCAAATCTTCGAATTTCAAAGGGCGCGCGCCCGGCGTATAGTTGACCTCTGGAAGTGGCGAATCCGGATTCGCCACTTCGTGGAAACCCTAATCTGCAATTGTGGCCGATTCGCAATTTTTCAAATTTACGAAACTAGCAAAAATACATATTTTGAGCTTTCAAACTTTGCAGGAAGCATATCAAATACGGTCAGAATATTTAAAAAAACGAAATTGGTAAAAAAAGATCGATTTTGGACGGATTCGCCACTTCGTGAAAACCCAACGTAACCTAACGGCGCACACATTTTACCCGAAATCTCATTTCATCCGAATAGAATACCGAAGTAAATACGTCACGCGCACAATTCGTGTGTAAAAGGCATGAGCACGTGAACCAGCGCGTGAACCAACACGCGCGCGTACTCCATTCGTTTGCACTGCACTTTCTGGTCCACAGTGACGTCACACTTTGACGTACTCTATTGAGAAAGCATCCAAATTTCAAAAGCATCCGCGTTTAAAAGCATCCAATCTTTTTTGACGGTGTTTAGCCCGAAGTTCCGAGCCTTTTTTGGACGAATCGGCTATTTTTGGCATCCACATGCGCAGGCAAACTCCTTCAGCGGTAGGAGATTGCCTGCGCATGCGCATGCAGAAAATAGCCGAATCATCCAAAAAGGTTCGGAATTTCGTGCTGAACACCTTCAAAAAGATTGGATGCTTTATAATTAAAAACGGATGCTTTTGAAATTTGGACACTTTCTCAATTCAGATCCTTTCTCAATTCAGATGGTTTCTCAATTCGGATGAAATGAGATTTCGGGTAAAATGCGTGGGTCGAATGACAACTTTCCATTGGGAAAAGTGTTCCAATTTTTAAAATAAATTCGGAGTCAACAATTTTAATCCAGTCTTATAAAATGTTTGGACTTTAAAAATTCGTTCCAATTTTAAAAAAAATGTTGAATTTGTAAAATCTTATTCGAATTTTGAAAAAGTTCACTCTGTACAAATTTATTCCAATCTAGAAAATTATGTTCCGTCTGTACAAATTCATTCGCCCCTTGAACATTCATTCCAATCTAAAAAAAAAACATGTATTGCATCTTTAACATTCCGTTCGGTTTTTGAAAAATCCATTCCAAAAGTCAACAATAGGATCTTTTTTAAATGACATTCGTTTAAAATACATTGGATTTTTTAAACAGCACTTTCGATTTTGAAAAAAGGCATTCGATTGTGCAAAGACATATTCCAATCTTTTGGACCCGAAACGTCCTTCGTACTCTGCTTCTCGTATTTTTCTCACGTGCCTATTGTAACCTCCTCATGTTTACACCGTATATGATTACCTTCCGTTTTATTTACACCCTACAATTATTAGGATTATAGATTATGAACCACAACACTCCAAATATTTATATAGTAAGATAGTGAAATAAATCTATTGAAAACTTATAATTGATCTAGTTAAACAGTCCGTGTCAGCAGCCCAGTGACATAATAAACCATTCATTCCTATGGCACAAATTAGAACAATACGAATGATGACTGTGTAAACTAATACCCCCCTTGGTTTCAGCCCTAAACACACGTCAATGCTTGATCAAATTGGCTCATTATGCTATCCGAGGCTGAATCGGGCAAAGTCTCCCAGGAAAGGTTAGGTTTCTGTATAACACTCGGCAAAGTGATTGCTTTTAATTGAAACATGCATTTCTACATAGAATTGTTTCACAAGAGTGCGCTTTATTGCACCAATGTGGCTCCGAGTCAGACTCCATGTTTTTCTCCACGTTTCACGCAGGACTCTTGAGTTTTCCATTTCAGTGAAACAACCGACGCCTTGGGATAATTCGGTGCAAGTTTTAAGTTTAAGACGATACGTACAAACATTTATATCACACAAAAGAAGGTTCTTTCATTTGCACATGCTGTAAATCTACCAGAATATATAAAGGCCCTCTTCAAAAGACCTTCTGCTCTGATTTTACTGGCTTTTTCGTTTTTGTTGTTTTTTGTTTTGTTTTGTTTTTTTGTTTGTTTTTGTTTGTTTGTTTGTTTTTGTTTTTGTTTTGTTTTTTTTTTTGGTGAGCCGGAGAAGTTAATTTCCCAATATACCAAAAGCATATGTATATCCGAAAAGGAGGCCGTCAAATTGGAAACCAACTCCCTCTTTTCACCTCAGATGCTTCCACTGAATCACTGCGAACGAGCCAGTTCGACATCAAAGCAAGGTCATTCTGGAGCAAGTACGCGCACGAGGCCTAATAGGGCCATGCTGATAGGGCCGACTTCACACGAGCGGCCGAATGACCTCGGACGCACTTCATTTTCGGCACGCGCTTTCGGAATACCGACGCACATCGCATTGGAATCGCCTAAGGCCGTGTCCGAAACGGGCTTTCAGAGCTACGGCTAGGTCTATTGTCTGCGCGTCTCCACGCATTTCCAATGGAGTGAAGACCTAGCTCTAGACAAGAGATTCGGATGCAGTCTAAAATTCATTGTTTTAGTTTTACTTTACATATTTTAAGGTCGGGAAGAAGGGAAACCAATCTAATATCTCCCATTTACAGGAGAAGTGACGAATAAAGAGAGCTTGTGTACATTTAACGCACGCAGCAGCCTTTTTGAAGCGTGCATGTATGTTTTTCCAGCAGTAAGTATACAAGCAATCAACTGGGGATCAACACCCTCTGCTCCTTGCCATTTTTAGGAACCTACGTTTAAAGGCTGGAAGAAGACGCCCTAAAAGCAAAAACTATGTAGGGGTCTCATTTTGCATGTGCGGTAAAGATCAAAACACAGAGATTAAATGGCTTCACCAACGGCGACAACTACATGTAGTAACCCCCCTCCTCTTGCACAAATAATTTCCCACCCCCAAGCAACAACATTTTGGATCGGTCCCTAATTTGCACGTTTCATTTGAACCACGAATGCAAGATACTAGACCAGTTTCGTGCAAAAGCTGTACCCATAGTGGTCCCGGGTTCGAGGTTAGTCAACAACGTTGCCTGAGATTTTGCCAGATCTTGAGTCGGGGAAGGGGCCATATGGATTTTTTTTTTAATTAAAAAATATACCCATTGTTTCATCCATACAAGTATCCTCATCGCCTTCATAAAGACGGTTGTTTTAATTCCTAAAAGAAAATTAAAAATCAAAACAAATTGAAATGCGTCTTAGGATGAGGGAACTTGCCCCTCCTCCACAATATCCGCCACCGAACTACACCAGCTCTACCAGCCATGACTTGTCGCGCGGTCCAGGCGGCAGACGCGTACAGGCCCCCAGCTGCACAAGGAAAGGGCGCCGGAGCAAGGCTCCTTTGGTTAGAACTGCACATCGCTGATTCACGAACGACTGGACAATAAAACGCAAGCGTTGCAGTCGCATCGCCAACAAAAAAATGAGCACTCCTGATTAACATGGCTCTTTTCAACCAATGAAGGGTGCTTCTGCTGAAGGCGGATAGCCTCAGCACTGTAAGCTAGTTCCCGTTCCCTTACTTGTAAACACAATGAAAGGCAGTCAAAACTGCTGCCATTTTATGAAAAAAAAAACACTAAATGCAGGCTGTTCTTTTGTCCACCTAAAAGCGACGAGCACTTAAACGTATGGGCAGGGACACATTTTGATGGAAACATACACAGCTCCAACCTCTCGATTTCTTGGAGTCAAACTTCTCATCTGCGAAATTTCTTTTCTTGACAATATATCTCCCAAATGTTTTTCAAATAATGGGAACGCGCGCGTATAATCGCCTAAAAACATTTTTGTTCCCTTTAATGAGTAACACAGAGCCTTGGGATTTATCGGTAAACACAGAACCTTGGAATTTATCGGTAAAATTTCAATTGTGGAATCATACTTATGATATCAGGACCACACGATATATCAGAATATCTGCATGCAGAAAAAATACCCTCTGTTTATATGTAGTTCATTTTACTAATTACAAACATTTACCGGCATTTTGATACATAGATCATCAGTGAAGTTTCACTGCTCTGTACAGACCCATGATGCTAAATCGAACATACTTCGAATTTTACATCTCAGATTAATACCATGCTGCTATTATAAGGCCAGATTTATAACATTTGAAAGGGTCTAATCCTTTTGCTATATTCCATAGGCGTTTAATTGTAGATAATTGGATTTTAAAATGAACAGGTAAAAAACCAGCAAGCGTTCGAAGTTAAGAGCAGCGTAATTTAAGTGCACTGTATTTACTTCACGGATACACATTTTTGATCTTCGGTACTTTAGACATAACCGGGTAAAACTCAAAAATGTACATTTTGCTCTGTTGAACTGATTTTTAAAAGGAGTTCACTGAAAGAGAATGTTGAGCCGGTTGCAGGATTGTTTGTATCGCTCCCCATCCTCACTTCCTCCAAGACAAGACGGATTTCAGCCAGTCGGATGGTTCGGGTATCTGGGAGTAGCGGCAACGAAGGATGCTCCGAAGCACCCCTTTGAATTGAGGATGGTTGACTGTGTATATAATGGGGTTCACGCAGCTGTTAAAGATGGCGATAGCTGCTCCGTAGAGAGTGAATTTACGACTTGATGGCACGGCTATAGCTAGGAAAAAAGGCGAAACCAAGAGGACAAAGACACAAAAGACCATGAAGAGATTCCTAGTGATCGCCAGCTGCTGACGGCTGATTGCGCGCCGGTTGCTTTTGGCAATGTCTGTGGTAGGACATCTCGATGATTCGGTCTCAATGGCAAAACTGACGGTCGACTCTGCAACTGCTGCCGCGTCACCTTGAGCCGGGCTGGCGTACTGATTGAGTCTCCTCTTCCGCTTCCTGAAGTGACGTTTGAGATGGATGTAAAGTGCCAAGTAGGAACCGACGATGATAAGCAAGGGGATTGGGTACATGCCAAGAGATTGAGCCAGGTTGTACTCTGCGGCACGGGGGTGTCCATCTTTATCTAAGCACGAGTAGTCCTGAGCATCGTAGCCCAAATCGCCGATGCCTAGAATTGGCGGCAAGAAGGAAACAACTGCTGGAATGACCCAGGTCATAGCGATGATGGAGGAGACTTTACCCGGGGAGTACCAACGGCTGTACGTTGCGGTGGTCTGGGTGATAAGTATGAAGCGATTGAACGCTATGGCCGCCAGTGAGTAAAGGCTTGTCCCATAACCGGTGGAAAGTTGCATAGCGGCGATTTTACACGGGACCTCGCTGGCTAACGGCCATGCACCGCGGCTGAGTAAGGCCACAGCCTGCCACGGACAGGACAGGCTGGTCCAGAAATCGGCCACGCTGAGGTTGACCACGAAAGCGTTGGTCACGGTGCGGAGCTTCTTGGATAGGATGACCGACAAGATCACGAGGCTGTTCCCCACCACTCCCAGGATGGCAACAATGATCCAGCAACAGCTGAAGCCAATGCGGGCCTGGTAGGGGTACAGCGACGGGCTTGCAGTCGCCGGTTCTTCGGTGGAAACAATATCAACGATCGAAGATGTCTCATTTACGCTTGCCACAGCCATAGCTGAAATGACTTCAGAGGAGTGAGATTCAATCTGAACAATATGCAACTGCAGTACCGATATTTGTATTTATAACAAACCCATGCACCGTGAGAGGAGGAAAGGAATTTATGATTATTTGCTTTATGCTCAGCCAACAGATCAGCTTGATGATGTTGTGGGCATGCCAGTGTATTAAAATGAGACGTCAACGTGTTATAAAGAGGCCGTTTAGAAACGCTAAGGGAGTAAATCCCGGGGGACGGAGGTATATTCCCCACGCACGCACACACTACTTTTTTAGGTGGGGGTGGGCTATTGAATCATCCTCCACCCGCTTTTTAAAATTAAAGCGAATTGTGAAGAATTTTTCAGACTTCCAACGACTAAAATGCATTCACAATCACTCAAAAACAGGCAAAACACTTTTTAAAGGTCATAAATATACCATTATGTATGCACAGTGCAGATGTACACCAATATCATGAACATCCATCATATAGAGTCATTATGGTGTCGTCCCGCCCACGCATCATTTAAGTGTCAGGCAATCTGTAACATCTTATGCTGTCATTTTCTAAAAACAGAATTTTTTCCAAAGATCGGACGGACAAAACGTCTTCGGTAAGCCTAAACTCATTATTAAGTAAATAAATAGATACATGACGATAACTAACACGCAAAAGAAGAATTTGGACTGATTCAAAAAAAAGTTTCTGTACGAAGCTTAGGAAGTTTATCTCACGTGAATATATCATCTCGTTATCACCCCTTCGATAATGGTATGGTCCAATGTCCGTTCCTTCAGAGCTCCGTACCGAAGCCTGTTTTCTTTCTTTTTTTTTTTCTTTTTTTTTACAAAATCTTCCATTTTAGCTTTCTGTTTTTCCAATAACAGTAACTCTCATACCCAAAATGCAAGGATAGTTACCATATTGTTTATTTATGAAGTGATTATGATGGGCACTGACGGCGTGTGGGCGGTTTTTGACCGACGTACGTATGTTCATGGAGAGCGAACAATAATTATGTGGTCCATCATGCACGTGTACATGTCCATACATGCACATGTACAGCGTACCTGTGGCTGCGCAGTGACCGTGGTGACTGCAGTCACTTCACCGCCAGATAAAAGGTTGTTTATTCGACAAATTCTCAGCATTGCATTGTTGAAGAGGAAACACAAACTCGAAGGTAAATTTGCCAACAACTAGTACTAAACGAAGCCATGGAAAATGCATTTTTAGGGCCATAGTCGGTCTGCAGGTCGACATCACCTGTGCATGTGCATTGTATAGGCACTCAGGAACGTTCTGTGGCACATGGATTTTTCCGAGACAAGTTAAACGCGCGAGTTGCGCTTTTTCTTGATTTTTCTAAAAGCAGAGATTTAAAAGAATGGATCAAATTTTTGGGAATATGATACACAGTAAATCAAAACCCCCAAAATGGGCCTAGTTTGACAATTGCAACAAATGCAAATCCTACACACTACCCTTAAGGGAGGATCTTGGAATTTTTGAGTTTACGCTCAAACCGAAGCACTCATTGGCTCGTTTTCTACTTTACAGATTAACGCCGAGCCTCAATTTTGTCAATGCAGAGTGACTGACATGACCGACAACGCCTGAATCCAAAAACGTTTCTTTCGAGTAATCTAGCAGTGAAGTGGGAAGTACATATTTTTCAATTGTTTGTTTCTCTAAATGTAAAAAGAAAAAATCCTGTGTGTCACGTGCCATTGTGTGTTATTAAAAGTAGGGGGCCTGTATCTTGAAAAAAAATGAAATAGCCTCCAAGCCAAACATGGCTGCTCTGGTGACCCCTGAGATGTTGTGCCATTAATTAAGTTTGATTGTGGGTGATACCTGACCCAAGATTTGATCACGAGACCTCAGGAATCTTCAGGTCAAAACCTGGACTACCGATGCTTTTCAGTTTGGGCATGCACTGCCAAAATTGCCATATCAGCTCCTTGTTTTTATTCCAATTACCTTTGCAAACGAATTGAAGATCTAATTGTATAAAGAGGCTGCCACCATAGAAGCAGACTGTATCACTGCCTTTATATGTAATCGTTATGGAAACCAATTTTTCAGAAATTGAAGTGCGGCAGTGGACAATTACATGTATTTCTAGCGGCCTGAGCATTATGCGTCTGTGATCAGCCCAACCAAAGACATTAAACGCAACGACCGCCAGATCGTATTAGCAAACTATAATGAACACTTTGTGATCTGCACAGCGCCCGATTTAAATCAAAACATTGGGCAAATTCTCCCTCGGTGCATGGTTAAGGCAAGCGTTGAACACGTTGAGATCTTGCGCCTAAGGAACTTGCCAAGAGACAATCCCGGAAGAGATCGCTTGATCCATCCGCAACAGTTACCTATCTTGTGCGCAGCCGGACCAGTGCCTGAGCTTTTGGACTGCACTTCCATGTGCGTTGGCACTGAAGCGACATCTTTGCTACACGAAGGACTACACTAGTAATTCAAGAAAAGCTTTCTGAAGTTGCTGAATTAAATATATTCTTGGTTACGTGTTTCAAATAGTAAAAAATACTTTCTTTGTTCTTCACTGCGAGGCATCAAGTTAATCGAAGCTATAAATCAAAATACAATGAACGAAACTGGATACCCCCCCCCAGAATGACTTTGCGCGCACACACACCTGCATGTCGCTTTAATGAAAAGGACCCCCCCCCTTCCCCATTGAAAGACAGAAAAACAGTAAGGCCGGCCAATGGACTAATCTCCCTTAAGGGTCATCGCTACAAAACTCCAAAGAAAGTACGATTTTTCTATCTCCTATTGAAATCGGACAGAGGAATAACAATGTGCGCTTGTGCATTAAATTACGATTGAAAGTCTCAAATGTTTCTGTCGAGAAGAAAATAAACAGCTGTAAAACATTGCAAACGTTTGCCAACTGAGGGCGGTAGAGACGAGCAAACCACCATACAAGCTCTTAACTAATGTCATCAGATGATTTTTGGCATTCTATTTCAAATCTATTGACTTGAAGTTCGTTTCTTTCTTTGAGTTTCTTCACAAAATGTACGCGGAGCTTGAAAACACAGATCCCCCCTCCAAAAAAGTAATGACGTGTTACTAATGTGTTAAAGAAAACGTGCGCTCAACGCAAATAAAATTATGTACTGAGTCCGTTTACGTTGTAAAGCTTTCTGTCAAGCAGCAAACTTAAGAAATTCCTCGTTTCCATTTAAGTTGGGAAACTTCAAGTGAGGAAAACATTGCTAGGAGTTTGCGACAGAGGTATAAGAAACCATTTATGGAGCGCTGCAGGAAACAGGGATATAGCCACGAGTCCCTCGGATGTCGATACACAATATCGCACATCACGTGCAGTCATTATTATTCAATTTTTACCGTTAATTTGACCGATTCGAGGAACTGGACATTAACCCTAACCCTCCTCAATCCTCCAACAGGTGAAGGATTGAGGAGGGTTAGGGTTAAACAAAAAGGACAGCTGTATAGCTACAGGACTGAAAAAATCTTTGCCGAAAGACACGTGACGCACATATAAAAAACATACTGTTCTCACACCACTATGATTATGTTTGATGTAGAAAACAGCCTATATCGGGCATCAATCATTTCTGAATGTGGGTTTATCAACAGCTGGAGTTTTTGTTGTTTTTTTATCTCGCTTAAACCCATTAGAATAGGCTTTGTGATGTGACTGAACACGAGCATGCATGATGACACGTATTTACAAATCTGGGTCGCACATACTCGATAATTTAGACTTACAACTGCAGTTTTTTTCTGCAACATTCTGTTTTTTGTTTTGTTTTGTTTTGTTTTTGTTTGTATGTTTTTTAATTCTTCCGTCTACACCTGACTTTCACTCTACTGTTTTTAAAATAAAAACAACTTAACTTACAGTTATAGTTCCCTATGTACCTCTTCCTAAACAGCCATGTTAAGGTGAGTATTTGTACACTTGAATTGTTTTCTTTCTACAAAGTCTTCGAGGAAACAGGTTCTACACACTTCCTCGCAATAGCACCGTGTGTACTACAACGGCCTGATCGATCTTCCTTGTCACGCGATCAAACTTGGTTCCCTTGACCCTCGCCCACAGTAAAGCCATATTTTAGTCACTGCTCGTCCTTGGTACCTTCTGTCTCTCAGATCGACTTGTTGATTGACATTTACGGTTTCGTTGTCTTTGTACAATGTTGTATTACCAGGTGAAACGTTCAATAACTTTTAATTTCGCAATGAAAAAATACAGATACCTGGCTTGATGGGGTAAGGGATATTGCTGGTGTTATTGAGCGAAGTACCTCAACTCAAAGTTTCTTTTTATTTACGGTAACTTTTATATTTACAATGATCTTGAGGTAGTCCCTTTAGCCTTAACATTTGCTTTTCAATGTTAATTATGTAGAAAGTGGACTGAAAATAATGATTGGAATAATTCTTCATTCTCGTCCATTTCGAGTTATCATTGTAAGCTGTGCGCTTCGGACAATACGAACATCTAATCACTTTCTACATTGTTTCGAAGAAATTATTTACATATATATCAAGACGAAACTGGGCAGAAGCCATTTACAAGATTAGTTCGTCAAGGATCAGTACCAGAGAAAATTCATTTACGCACGATGCTTTGAAATGTTAAAGAGGCGTCTATAATTTTGATGCCGTTTAGTTCTAATATTACAGCATGAGTCAGTCTCCACAAACACTGCGTGTGCATTAAGCCTGTCTCCATGAGCTTGTGCACTCAGCTCAACACTATGTACAGGCCTGGATCAATCCTAGTGATATCCCCGTTCCTATCGGTTCCGAGACAGGACAGATTTCAACCAGTCGGACGGCTCGGGTATCTGCGAGTAGCTGCACCGAAGGATGCTCCGGAGCACCCCCTTGAAGTGAGGATGGTTGACCGTGTAGATGATGGGGTTCACGCAGCTGTTCAAGATGCTGATGGTTGCTCCGTAGAGAGCGAACTTGCGACTTGATGGCACGGCCAGGGAGATGAAATAAGGTGAGATCAAGAAGAAAAAGACACAGAAGACCATGAAGAGGTTCTTGGTGATCGCCAGCTGCTGACGGCTGATTGTGCGCTGTTTCATTCTGGCCATATCAAGGGTGGCCATGGAGGTGGACTCGGTCACAATGGTAAAACTGACTGTCGACACCGCAACTCCTGATTCATCGTTCTGAGGCCGGTTATCGTATCGTGTGTGTCTCCTCTTCTGCTTCCTGAAGTGACGTTTGAGATGGATGTACAGTGCAAAGTACGAACTGACGATGACAAGCATGGGGATGGGGTACAGGCCAAGAGATTGAGCCAGATTGTAGTCTGAGCCACGGGCGTGTCCATCCTTGTCGGAGCATGTGTTGTCTGTAGGATCATAACCAAACGTGCCGATACCAATAATTGGTGGCAAGAAGAAGACAACTGATGGAATGACCCAGGTCAAGGCGATCATGAAGGAGACTTTCCCCGGGGAGTACCAACGCCTGTATGTTGTGGTGGTCCGGGTGATAAGCATGAAGCGATTGAACGCTATGGCTGACAGTGAGTAAATGCTCGCACCCAGACCGGTGTAAAACTGCACAGCGGCGATGTAGCACGGAACCTCGGTGGATAACGGCCAGGCACCGGGGCTGAGTATGGCCACAACCTGCCACGGATAAGACAGACTGGTCCAGAAATCGGCCATGCTAAGGTTGACCACGAAGGCGTTGGTCACGGTGCGGAGCTTCTTGGACACGATGACCGACAAGATCACGAGGCTGTTCCCCACCAGTCCCAGAACCGCAGCTGCTACCCATACACAAGAAACTCCGATGCGGGCCTCGTACGGATAGAGGGACGGACTAGCGGTCGCCATTTCAACGGTGGTGTTATTGTCCGTAACTGAAGATGTTGTATTGATGATTACCATTGCCATGTTGGAATTAAATGAGAGGAGTGAAGATTCAATTAGAACAGCATGTCATTATATGTGTGCACAATAGATCAATGTACACTACAAGGATGGCTGTTGGCAAATGTTGTCATGCATTGGGTGCTCTGCTAATAGCTTCTCCCACTTAGCAATTGTGATGGTACGCCGACATAATAAATGAACAGTAATTGTCGCAGAGTGACACCTTCACCACACCTTTGTCAGGAAATGAAAGGACATGCGTTTTCGGTTTCCTTTTGTTTGTGAGTGGCGTTTTCCTGTGAGCATCATAAATTATTTCATTTTCAGCACATGCAAATGTCCCTGTAGCCTCGCCCTCATATTTCACAAGTCCGCTTTCCACTGAAACAGTGTGTACATTATGGACAATCAGCTCCATATTTTACTCCGTGATACCCTTGGCAGGGAATAACCAGTAGTTGACATGAGGTGACGGACGATTATTTCTCCTAATATCACGCACGATGGAGCAATACAAATCCGGCGGTCGGGTATACCCATACGTATCGTGAGGTTTTATCTCAAACCCCTTCGCGGGTATGATGTCGGGTGGTTTGGCCACGATTTTTAAGCACCACGATGGGGGAATTTCGTCACTAAAACACCACTTCATGGTAAAGCACACTTTATGGTAACGGCTGCCACAGCCCCCCCCCCCGCATTTTTCTTTTTTTCCTTTTTTTTTTTTTTTNGGGAATTTCCCTCTAAAACACCCCTTCTTGGTAAAACACTTTTTTTGTGAACGGCTGCCCCACCCCCCCCCCCCCCCCGCATTTTTCTTTTTTTCCTTTTTTTTTTTTAAGATGAGAGGCCTCACATCTTGGGTAAGGAGCAGCCAAAAGGAAATGATAGTCATTGGTAAGCTCAAGATAGTAAGTAAACGTTATCTCTTGCAGTTCCACATCAGACAGACACAAGACGTCATGCATTTTGAGTAAGACTGTTGCGTACCATTACAAGACACGTAAGCTTCCTTTTGACGTTGGTGAAATTGGTTCCCATGATCCTGACGCACAAAAGAACTGTTGTAGTGGGCTCCTGTTTATACCTGGCATCCAACAGCTCGTAGATCGACGTGTCAACACGGGCGATTCACCCTTTCCAAACGCGCATTGGATCGACAGGTTTGGCGCATTGTGATTGGCCAATGCGTTGCAAACTCTTGGAGGCGCGCTATTGTGAAACGCCCGCATTGGAACCTGCAGTTATCTTGTTCCTGGTTAAACCATTTTTTCTTTTTTTTACCGGGCTAAACACCCCACAACCACAGCTTTAATTTTACACACAGTTAAAAAAAGTGAACTACTGACGGCCGGCTGGGTCGATGGATGTGTACGGGACGGTGGATGAAGTGGATGTTAACGGGCAAAGCACGTGTTCCTCAAGCCAAACTTTCATGTTACTTACAACAACTATAAGACCACCTTACTGTGCGTATATGGGACTTTCCCAGATGGAATGAAAGTGAGTAGTTGTTAGACTGATATTTCATTCTCATATATTTCAAAATTATCACTGGTTCATATGGATGTAATATCTAAATAGAGCCCTGGCGATTGATTAGTTTGTTAGTGTCAACACATGTCCGCGTGATGGTTTAAAGTTTTATACAAGCGGCTATGAGTCTCTAGCTGAACCAAGAGAGGGCGTAATTCTCTTTGCGCAAACTCGATAAAAGGTTTTGAACTATAAAATTGATTGTAAAAGCAAAACTGTTGTACAGACATCCCATAAATAGGGATTAAACAGTTTTGACAACAGCAAGGGGCGTCATAAATTATATATATATAAAACACAAAAAAGAACAAATTTCACCATGTAAAGGGTTTTCCCAGATCAGATCACAAATTCAGTTATTTTAGATTTCCAGTGATTTTCAGCAACTTATGAAAAATACGAGCTGTGTTTTGTCCAGTATTCCTGACCGAAATAGGAAGCATTACATACCAGAAAAGTCCTTAAATTCTAAAAACAAAGTCTGCAAGCGAAATCCACGGCAGTTTCCAAAGACACAAAGGTTCCGTGCACTTACAACAGACTGCATGTGTGCCACTATAACACGAGAAGTTCCTTGTCGGTGTCGAACTTCTTGTTTGCATGACCCTTGCACATATATGAGCGAGTTAGTTCCTGCAGTTAGTTAGAGCAGTTAGTTCCTGTTAGTGGAGTTCGACAGCTGTCAAACTGACGTGTTGACGGCACTAAGGCTTACTGTTCTGTGGATTTTCTTTTCGTTTTGTTTAACCGGACCTGAATGCCCAAGTGGGAAAACTGTAATTTTACACTCAGATTAAAAGATTAGTTACAATTGACCGGGTGAGTCGATGGAGTGTGAGGAATTGCGGATGCAGGCAGAGGGTTTTGTTTTTGTTTTGTTTTTGTTTTTTTCAAAGTACATCTTCCTCAAATCTTTTCCTTAAATTTTACTGACATTAACGACAAGGCCATCTTTAAAGGCTTACATGTGACTTTCCCTTCGTAATATTGAAATTTACTCACCTATGACACCCGATCCGACAACCCACCGCTACTTGTAAGTGATGCTAAAGAACTGTGATGCTACCATGTTTTCGTATGATGAATACAGTAGGCAAACTTGTAAGTAAGGCTAGTCAGCTTCACAAAAATTTGTAAGTAGAAGCCTCGAACAGGCCTCACTTATAGGTTTACCCACTGTATTGCATCATACGATAATAAATTAGCATTATGGTTAGAGCATGGCTATTTTGCTGCACAGCCCTCGCTTATATTTTAGCGGTGGGTAGTTGGATCGGGTGCCTAAGAAATTTCCAAAAAACTCGGTATGCATATAAAGCCTGTTAAAAACCAAAACTTGCCGTGGCGATAAAAGACTAGCTCGTTTGGGATCAATGCACAAGAATGCTCATACATTATACGAGTAACGTTTCGAAACAGCTAGTAAGCGCCTGCAGGCGTACCAGTTTGATTAACCCTTAAGTTCTAAGACGAATAGCATAATCAATCTCGGATGTCACCGAATGTAATTTTGCACGATTAATTATAATTTTGTCTGTCTCTGGAAGCTTTACACACCACTTCTTCGCCACACTCAGCTTAAGAACACATTCGTTTCGTTTCCAAGACGAGACAGATTTTCCAACCTGTTAGATGGCTGGGGGATCTGCGAGTGGTGTAACTACGGATGCTCCGAAGCACCCCCTTGAAGGGAGAATAGTTGGCCGTGTATATGATGGGGTTCTCTGCTGCTATTCCGGATGCAGATTGCCAGGACGCAGAAAGTGAACTTATAACCGTTGCCAGGGAGACAAAGTGTAGAGAAATCAACAGGAGGGAGATGTAGAAGGCCATGAAAAGGTTCTTGGTGATTGCAAGCTGCTGACAGCTGATTGCCCGTCGTTTGTTGCTGGTCACTTCGTTTTGATGCGCTGTTGAGGACAGCTTTCTACGATGAAAGCACTGACGGTCGACTCTCCAACTGGTGAATGATCATTTCGAGGTGGGGTGTCCTGTAGCTCGTCTCTTCTCATCTGCTTCCTGGGTTAATGATATTTGGGTTGGATGTACAGTGCCGTCTGATCCCATTCAAAAATTTTGGGACTCTTTTACAAAACTCGATTGGCAGAAGAATCACGTAGTCTGGATTGGAGGTGACTTCAATGTCCCTGATGTCAACTGGAGACTATCTTGTCGTAAGTCTAACACTGATGGCAATTATCAAGCTGAATTAACTAATGAACTCTTAACTCTACTAGAGGACTTTTCTCTTGTTCAACTCAACTTGCATATAAACCTAAACATTATCAGCAAACAAGATCATCCAGTGTGCAGAATATCCTCAATCTGTTGTATCTTTCAAACCCAAGCTGCTTTCACCCCAAGACTGAGCCTGGTATATCCGATCACTTCAAAATCATTGCAGATACTGAGGCTAGGCCTTGTGTCCAGAAAAGAGGTCGCAGAAACATGTACCATTTGGCATACTGCGACCACCGATGACTGAAAAGACGGCTTGAGCCAGTTCAGGACAAAGTTTGAGGAGAACTGTAGTCATAAATCAATTGATGAAAACTGAAAACTTTGTGCACTGCAAGATACATGTGCCTTCTTCTATGAAGTCTTCTAGGTTGTATCTCCCTAGGCTTACCCGACCACTCAGTTGCATGATATAAAAGAAAAATAAGGCTTAAAAAGAAAAATAAGGCTTGAAACCTTCTAACTCTGACTGGCAGTAGAAACATGATAGAGCACTCAAGAAACAGGTTCAACGCAATAGCCGAAATTAAGGCTTAACAGGGGTATCTCTCGACAACCATTTTTGAATCAATGCAGTCAAATGTTAAGAAGTTTCGGTCGTTCATAAAATATCGAAGACGGGATAAATGTGGCATTACTACACTTTGGAGAAATGCCACATTGGTTGGCAACGCATTCGACAGAGCTGAGGCACTTAATAGTATTAAAACAGTACAAGTCTACCTCCAACAGGGAAGACACCTCTAATATCCCTTCTTTCGGAAAGAGCCCTTTTCCAGCTGTGTCAAACCTTACAATCGATACTGGTGGTGTTGTAAAGCTACTGCGGGAGATCAACGTTAATAAAGCTCCTGGACCAGATGAAGTCAAGCCCCATGTTTTAAAGTTGTGTGCAGAGGACATAACTCCAGTTCTTCCGATCTTTTTGCATTTTGCAGTATTGAAACAGGGAAACTTCCTAGAGATTGGCGATGTGCTAACATCTCTGCATTGTATAAAAAGGGGACCGGTATAGTAGGATAGATCCAGTCAATTATAGACCTGTCTCTCTCACTTCAGAGGTTTGCAAGTTACTCAAACACATTATCTTCTGCCATGTCATGAATAATCTTGAGAGGTTCAACACCCTGAGCGATCACCAGCTTGGCTTTATATCACGCTGTTCCTGTGAAACTCAACTTTTGTCTACCATTCATCAATTCTTTAGTGAAGTACACAAAGTACGGTACCCAACAAACGCTTACTCT